GTAGATCGTTGATGGTTCGTGTTGGAATCGAGGATCGTCATATTTTGGTATACGGTAGTTATGTTTTTGGATAGTATTTGTCACTCTTTTCGGGTTGAAGTCTTTATTTTCCCGATGAATACTTTCGGCCCTTCAGATGTAAATGTTGATATAAAATTTATCTTTTGATGGTAAATATATATATATATATGTATCCCGTATTTTGTTGAGGTTGAACTTGAAATTTAGTTTAAGATCTATCCGTTAATTGTGGTTCGGTAACTGGTGTGTTACATTTCGAGTGATTTTTGAATTCTGGAGTTAACTGGTATACTCTCCCGACGTTGAATATATTCATTGTACGATAAGGTTGACTCATCGGACGTTGAATTTGTGTGTAAAAGTTCTCTTTTCATCGGTCATTTCTTGAGACTTAGATATATTTGGATTTGATCATTGTTTGAGCTTTGACCAGATTAGTTTTGTCCGATATCGTTGTATTGTTGCTCATCGGATAAGATTTTCTTGGTTGTTTGTTCTTAGCAATCATATTGTGTACGAATATCTTGACTTCATTGATTCAATTTGGTCCAAGTCATCTCATCAGATACATCCTTGTCTGGATTGCTCATCTCATCGGACACCTCTTTGTTCGGTGAAGTTAGATTGTTTGTTGTCCGGAAAAGCAATTCTTTGTTAACCGGAGAAGTACCTTTGTCTTCCGATAACAATCCCTTGAACAATAACATTCAATCTTATCCGGATAGCATTCTTATTCCTTGTCCGGATTTTCATTTGTCCGGATAACATTCTTTTTCACTTGTCCGGATGACTTTCTTTTTCACTTGTCCGGATAGTGCTTATTCTCTTGTCTGATAAGTGGTTTACCTTGTTTGGATAGCATTCTTTTAATTCACTCTTTGTCATATCTCTTGATCATTTGTCCGATAAGATATTTTTGTTAAGTTTTTTAAGAGTCAAGAATATTATTTATTGAGTTTTTTTTCAAATCCAATTCTAGTCAAATATTTTCTGAAAAAGATCATTTCAAGTCTTATAGATGTCAAAAGATATGCTAAGCATTGGTTCTGACTCTAAGCCTCCGGTTCTTGCTGTCGGAGAGTATTTACAATGGAAAGTTCGAATGATTCACTTCCTTGACAATAAGGATGAGAAGTTGATGAAATCTATAAAAAATAGACCTCACATCAGTTATATGGATCTTCCTGAGCAAACTACCGCTGTTGGTATTGTTGTGCCTGCTTCTAAGATAAAGAAAGATCCACAGTACTACACTGAAACCGAGAAACAAAGGGTCCTAATTGATAAGAAAGTTTTGACTTATATGTTAATGGCCATTCCAAATGAACTTTTCGACCGTGTTGACAGCAGAGGCTCAGCAAAAGAGTTATGGGATGAATTGGAGAAACAGATGTTGGAAAGTGAAAAGTCAATTCAGACACGGATGAATCAATGCATCAGTGCTTATGAAGGATTCAGGGCTCGTGAGAATGAAACCATCACTGAATCCTACAACCGATTCAATGTATTTCTGAATGACCTAAGGAGGAATAGTATTAAAAAATCCATGTCTGAAATTAACTACAAGTTTTTGAAGAATTTAAAGTCAGAGTGAACTCTATTGTAGTAAATCTGCAAATGAACAAGAACATGTCGAAAGAAGACATTCATGATCTTTACAGTATCTTGTACGAGCAAGAGGAAACTATAAGAGAGTTGATAACTGAGAAGAAGAAGATAGCTGACTCCTTAGCTCTTCTGTCAGGGAAGCAAGCAAAGGGCAAATCAGAAGGAAAGAGCTCCAAGTCCTTGAAGACCAAGTTGTCTAAGCAGACTAAGAGTGAATCAACTAAAGATTCCTCTACTGATTCAGATAATGACATCAGGGAGTTATCTAAGAAACTTGCTTTACTTACAAAGAAGTTTCAGAAAAGGTTTGGTAAAAAGAAGTTTGATAAGAGTAAGTGAAAGGAGGTAAGGCCTGAAAGGTTTATGAAAGCCAGAGACCAGAGAGATGCTAAAACTGAAGAGAGCAAATGTTATAATTGTGGAAAACCTGGTCATTACATCAAAGATAGCCGGTTCAAGAAGTTTATGGATTCAAACTACTACCTCAAGAAGGAAAATCTGGCAAAAGCCCTTGAGGACGGCAAGGCTTTGGTGGCTGAAGAAGAAAGTTGGCTTGTTGACTGGTCAGATGATGAAGTTGCCCATTTTACCCAAGTAAATATGTGTTTAATGGCAAGAACTGAAGCTGAAGGCTCATCATCTAAGAACGAGAATGAGGTAAATTCCTTAAATGTTGAATTAATGAAAGAGATTGAAATTATGAATTCAGAATTTAAAGTTTTAAAAGATAGACTGGAAGGTGAAAGGAGCTTAAAGATGAAATTTAGAGAAGAAAGTTGTGGTTTCAAATGCTTGAGTGAGGGTTTGAGAAAAGAAAAAGAAATTGTGAAATCCGAAAAGACTAAGCTTGAAGTTGAATTTCTGTTATTGAAAAAATAAATTAAGTGATGTTGAGTGAAAGCGTGATAACATTCAGTTAAAATTTGATGTTATTTTCGCAAAAAGATTAAATCTTTATGATAAAATTAAACAGTTGGAGGATATTAATTACAAACAAGGTCAGTTTGAACAAACACTGAATTTTTTTGACGAATAACCCAAAAGATGTTTGTTTTTACAATCCACATATGGATTTGGGTTATACCGAAAATGAAACTTTGAAAAAGGCTCCTCAATCTTTATATGATTTTGACAAATGGGGGTCGGCTAAATTTGCAATTCCTACTGTGAAGGAAATCTTTGTCAAATCTGAAAATGAACCACCTATTTTTGACAAGGATGATAGTGATAAAACCAATGAAATTTTTTCTGAAAAATTAAATTTTAAATCAGTTGGAATGAAATATGACAATCTTAACTCTAGTTATGAGATAAGAGAAATCATATTTTCACATACTGAACTTGACTCGGTATATCCAACTGACAGTGTTAAAAATCAAACTTCATCTATTTTTGAACATTTGAAAATTCTGTAAAACTTTCCGACTTTATTGAATCAATGACTCCTGAATTGTTTGAAAACATTATAGATGAGTCTGATTATGATTCGGAAATAGAGGTGATTTATGATTAAGACAAGGCAGAAGAAATTACTGATCAGGATTGGAAAGTGCATTCAAATCCTAAATTTGATCTAAATTTGTTAAAGATTTCTGATCTTGAAGATGAACTTCGTGCTGAAAATGATTTTCTAACCAAGTCAAAAGAATTTGAAAACAAAATTTCTGAATTGACCTTGCTTGTTGTCTGTAAAGGTAATTTGCTTACCTCTAAGTTGGAAAAGATTTATGGTTTAGAAAAAGAGCTAAGTTCATGTTTTGATGATAGGACTCAGCTTATGAATAAAATTATTAAGCTTGAGGAAAATCTCAAAAAAACTTCAAAGATCATTTGCCAAAAATTTAGAAACTGTTCAGACTGTCTCCAAATAAAAAACAACTGTTATTGAAAATATTAATCTTTCTGGAAGCAAATATGAGAAAGGGGAACCTTCTAACTCAAAAAATGAAAATATTTCTAAGGCTACTTTTAAAATCGTCAAATATGTATTAAATGCAAAAGCTGTTACATTTGAATCTTTATCTACGAACCGCTCAACTAACACAAAACCTTTTTCTGTCGCAGAACTTTTAAAGATTGGAAAAGACTGCAAGCGGAAGTCTTGGCAGAAAATTGATAAAAATGTTTTGAATAATTCATCTTCTGTAAAGAATTTTCTATCAATAAAAATAGTTGCAATTGTAAATCTGTAAACTCAAAATGGAATCTGGATGTTGATTTTGAGAAGGTTAAAAAAAATTTCTCATCCGGATCTTCTACCTGTTGCTAAACGCCATATACATTGCAATCATTGTGGGTCAAACTCCCTTGTAGTTAATGCAAGTGTAAGAGTCTTTAAGGTCAAAGATTTATGTTTCTAACTCAATTACCTCACTTAGAGCAAAAGCTTTCAATAATCCTCCTGATGTTAAAAAGAAAAGTGCTTTCAAGAAAATTGTTTCAAAACCGAAAAAGGAGGAGCCATATTTTGTAGATGTTAGATTTGTTTGGAAATGGGTTCCTAAAGCGAAATATGAGTGGAGCGTTAAATCTATATCTTCTAATGTAATTTCTAACCCCAAAAGGACCCATTTGGAAATGGGTACCTAAATCTCCGTGATTGTTTTTGCAGGATTGTCATGTGTGGTACGTAGACTCAGGATGTTCAAGATACATGACATGACACATGCACCTTCTATCTGATTTTAAAGAAAAACCTGGCGAAACAGTCACTTTTGGAAATAAAGAAAAGGGATTTGTGCATGGATACGACACATTGTCAAACGGCATTGTCACGATTAAGAAAGTTTCCTATGCTGAGGTTTAAAGCATAATCTGTTAAGTATTAGTCATTTCTGTGATAATGGGTTTGATGTAAAATTCTTTGTAAATGGTTGTGTGATTTTTGACTCTAAAGGGATAGAGGTGATAAGAGTTGAACGCTATGGTAATCTTTATGCAATTAATTTCCCGACTCTGACTACTTCTAAGCCTGTTTGCTTAATCTCTAAAGCATCAAAAGAAGACAGTTGGACATGGCATAAAAAATTATCTCATCAGAACTTCAAGGATATTAATCGGCTCGTAAGCAATGATTTGGTCATTGGTCTACCCGAACTTAGATTTGATAAGAACACACTGTGTTCGACATGTGAAATGGGAAAGGTTACAAGATCTTCCTATAAAGCAAAATCTGATTCATCTTGTAAATATTCTCTTGAAATAATTCACATTGACTTATGTGGACCAATGCGTACTCAATCGCTTGGAGGTAAAAAATATATCTTGGTGAAGGTTGACAAGTACTCCAGATACACGTGGCTAGAGTTTCTGAGAGCCAAATCTGATGCGCCTGAGCTGATCATTTCTTTTATCAAGCATATTCAAGTTCTTCTACAACTTCTAGTACAAAAGGTTTGAAGTGACAACGACACTAAATTCACAAAAGAGACTCTTCAAAGTTTTCTTCAAACTGTTGCGATTTCTCACAACTTTTCTGTTGTTCGAACTCTGCAACAAAATGGAGTTGTTTAAAGATGAAACAAAACATTAGTCGAGGATGCTCAGACTATATTGGCTTACTCTGGTCTACCTCTGTATTTATGGGCTGAAGCAATGTCTACTGCCTGTTTCACACAAAATATAACGATCATCGTCAAGCGCTTTAATAAAACTGCTTATGAGTTAATAAATAAAAGAAAGCCTAATGTAAAAAATTTCCATGTTTTTGGATGCAGATGCTTCATGCTTAACGATCGAGATAATCTCGAGAAGTTCGATAAGAAGGCGAAAGAAGGCTACTTCATCAGCTATTCGGTGAAGTCTAAAGCCTTCCGAGTCTACATCAAGTCATCCAAGATTGTCATAGAAAGCATAACCGTCAGATTCGAATCTTCGACTTCTAAAAAAATCAGTTCAGGACTCAAGCTACAACAGTTAGTTTCTACACAAAGCAGTGTAGAACCTGTACCAAACAGGATAAATAATTTTGATTCTTCTACGGTAAAATCAAATTTAGATTCTTTATTCAAATACAGATTTGATCTCACTTGGGATATTCTTGCAGAGTACGAAATATTTGATCTACCCAAGTTGAATGAACCAATGGTCCCAATTCTGCAAGTTACTCAACTTTCTAGACCATCTGAAGCTGGTTGTTTAACATCAAATGTTGTTCAACATGAATCTACTGAAGCTACTGAATCAGAACATGTTCAAGCTGAGGCACAGACTTAACCAAAGATTGTTCAATACGATATTGATCAATCTGAGTCTTTTCAACCTGCCAATGAAGCTGAACATTCTGAGGATCAAGATGAAGCTAAATCAGAAGTTCAAGCTGAAGTTGAAAGTGATATTCAATCTGAAACTGAATCAAAAATTCAAATTGAAGTTGTAAGTGAAATTTAAGCTGTAACTGATGAATATGATGATCAGAACAATCTAACTGATGTTCAACCCCTCCCTTGTACTCACGAGTGGATAAAATATCATCCCCCTACTCAAATAATCGGTAATGTAAATGATAGAGTGAAAACGCGATTTGCTACCGCTAACGAGTGTCTTTTCGTGAACTTTCTTAGTGCAATAGAGCCAAAGAAGCCATCTGAAGCGTTGCAAGATCCAGATTGGATCAATGCCATGCAAGATGAACTTTGAGAATTCGAAAGAAACCAAATTTGGAGACTCATACCGAGGCCGAAAGACAAATCAATAATTGGTACAAAATGGGTCTACTGAAACAAAAGTGACGCGATGAGAATTGTAGTGAGAAACAAAGCGCGATTGGTTGCTAATGGTTACAGTCAACAAGAAGGTATTGATTATGACGAGATCTTTGCTCCAGTCGCACGTATTGAAGCTATCAGAATATTTCTGGCGTACGCTGCTCACAAAAATTGCAAAGTATACCAAATAGATGTCAAATCGACATTTCTAAACGGTATTCTTCACGAAGAAGTCTACGTGAGTCAACCTGAAGGCTTTGCTGATCCACACAAACCTGAT